AGCGGAATGTAAATAGCGGAAATGTAAAGGACGAGAAAATAAATGACGGAAAATAAAAGACGAGAAAGTAAATAAAGAAAAAGATGAAGAAGAACTTGAAGTCTTTAAATGAAGAACACCGTTGGAGAGGGTTTACAAAAACTAGCTAATGGAAGAAAAGATGGAGAAAAGATGGAGAAAAGATTAAGGGATCCAATGAAGAATCCAATGAAGGATGGTTTAGAAGGCACCCCAAGCCCTCTTTTTATACCCAAAAGGGGTTACTAGAAGACAAAATAAAAATACTTGTAGGCTAAGTTTTCTAAAAGCTAGTTACAAAGCAACAAAAGTGTAACTAGAAAGTACAAATCCTTAACCAAAGTTTAACTAAAAAGTACATAAGCCTAACTAAAGARTACATCTGATTTTTCCACTAAAAATCCAGCTTTTTCCAGCTGTCCTCCATCTTCAAAAAGCCAGCGTCTTGTTCATTAAGCCCTCCAATAAGTCGTGTATGAATCAGGTCGACGCTGCACCAATGCTGCAGCATTTGTTGTTTTCACAAAAAAACTCTCATTTAGCTTCAATTGCACATACCAACAAGTCAACCACAATATTTAGCTTCATAATAACAAAAGTATAAAGAAATAAATGAAAAGGACTCAAAGTGGGAATGAAAAGAAATTATTATAACTAAAAAGACGTAAAATGAGCGCTTTATGTGTTAAATTCTTAACACATATCAGGGGACAAAACCCTGCTCTCAGACTACAAAGATGAAAGAGGCCCTTCCGTGACCTTTGGAGGAAATGGAAAAGGATATACCAAGGGCTTTGGTATATTAATCAACGGTGAAACCACCTTCAGATGTGTTGCATATGTTGAAGGACTGAAGCATAATCTTCTCAGCATCAGTCAATTGTGTGATAAATATTTCAAAGTTAAATTTCTTAAGAATTCATATTACGTATTTGACAAAGATGACAACCTTGCTCTAACAGGCTCTCATCAAGAGAACGTGTACGTCATGAACATGGATTCTCCCTTCATTGAGAATAGTTGTTTTCACTCTAAAGCCTCTTTAGATATCAACTGTTTATGGCACAAAAGACTTTCTCATCTCAACTTCAAGACGCTGAATGAGCTGTCTCGAAAAGATCTTGTCACTAGCCTTCCTTAACACTCTTATGTAAAGGAATCTTTTTGCTCAGCGTATGAAAAAAGAAAGCAGACAAAGGCTAGCTTTAAGTCAAAGCAAATCTCTTCAATGACTTCTCCGCTTCAGCTACTGCATATAGATTTATTTGGACCTGTCAATGTACAATCCATAGCTAGAAAGAAACATATGCTCATTATTGTTGACGAGTTTTCCAGGTACATTTGGGTTTTCTTTCTCAAATCCAAGAGTAATACACCTGAAAAAATCAACTCGTTCGTCAAGTGCATAGAAGTATTAAACAACATCAAAGTACGATCTATCAAGAGTGATCATGGCACTGAATTAAAAAAACGATACCATTAATGATTTCTTTGTGAACAAAGGAATCTCACACAACTTCTCAGCTGTGAGAACTCCACAATAAAACGAGGTCACTGAAAAGAGAAATTGAACGATAATCGAAGCCGCTCGATCAATGCTCAGCGAATCTCGTCTACCTATTCAATTCTGGGCAGAGGCTGTCAATACTGCTTGTTTTACTTAGAATCAGTCGTTGATCATTAAGAGATTCAAGAAGACAGCTTACGAACTCTTCCACAGCAAAAACCCTTCTCTTAGCTTTATACATATCTTTGGTTGTACCTACTATATCTTAAACAACAGAGATCATCTTGAAAAGTTCGAACCCAAAGCTGATGAAAGAATTTTTTTGGATATTCTTTAGTATCCAAAACCTTCAGAGTATTCAACAAAGACGACAAACTATAGAAGAATCTATTCATGTCACGTTTGATGAATCTCAATCAGATAACTCTAACCCATCTCTGAAGATGATGAAGAGTTAGACAACTGAATGATATCTCACTATGGAGAACCTGAAGCTTCCTTCAGCGATCAACCGAACGCTGACCTTCCTGAAGCTGACTATGGTCCATTTATCATTCCAGAAACGACTAATAACAAAGCTGAATCCTCTTCAATGATTGTTGTTATTTCCATTAGTCACATACCCCGTTTACTTCAATACTGATCCTTTATTTGTTGAATCTCTTTCAATCACTGAACCTCTCTCAGTAAATGAATTGCTCACTAAGGCTCCTTTGGAAATTCAAGTTGTTGTTGAAGACTCTGTTGCTGAAGCCTCATCGTCTGTACCTAAACCCCCAAACTCAGAAGGTGATAATCTATATCATACCAGTTCAACTATGGATGAAAGATCATCTCATCGATCAAATTCTTGGTGATCCAAGTGTAGGTATTCAAACTCGTCGAGGTCTACGTAATATTTATCTCTTTATCAACTTTCTTTCTTTAGTTGAGCCCAAGAAAATCAGTGAGGCTATCACTGACCCAAGTTGGGTCACTACAATGCAAGAAGAACTCATTGAGTTTGATAGAAACAAAATTTGGTACCTTGTCCCGCATCCATCTAGAAAAAGTGTGATAGACACCAAGTGGTTTTATCACAATAAGGTGGATAAACAAGAAAATGTAACCTGTAACAAGGCTCGTCTTGTTGCTCAGGGATATAGGAAATAAGAAGGCATCGATTATGATGAGACCTTTGCACCAGTGGCTAGACTCGAAGCTATTTGACTCTTCATAGTCTATGTTGCACATAGGGACTTCAAAGTCTACCAAATGCATGTAAATAGCGCTTTTCTTAATGAAAAACTCCAGGAGGAAATTTATGTTGAACAATCTCCAGGGTTTCTTGACCCAAAATATCCACATCATGTCTATTGAGTGGGTAAAGCTCTTTATGGGTTAAAACAGGCCACTCGTGCCTAGTATGACACCTTTCTTTATTTCTCATCTGTGAGAAATTCATCTGTGCAAAGATTGACCGGACTCTATTTCTTAGGAAAGTCAAGGGTCATATGATTCTAGTCTAAATTTATGTTGATGATATTAGATTTGGTTCCACTAATCCCTCTTTGTGTTTTCGCTTTTCTGAACGCATGAAGAAAGAATATCAAATGAGCATGATGGGAGAACTGTCTTACTTTCTAGGTCTTCAGATTAAGCAATATGATAAAAGAATTTTTAAATATCAAAGTAAGTATGTCAGAAATATGTTGAAGAAATTCGACTTAACCAACAGTTCATCTATGAAGAATCCAATGGTTCCTCTTCTAACGCTGAATAAGGATCCACATGGAAAGCCTGTAAACGTAACTGCTTATAGAGGAATGATCGGCTCCTTGCTCTATCTTACAGCTATCCAACCTGATATCATGTATTCTACTTGTCTATATGCAAGATATCAGTCTGAACCCAAATAATCTCATCTGATTGCTGTAAAACGCATATTCATATATCTTAAGGGTACTCCTAATCTGGGCCTTTGGTATCCCAAAGACTCAGGTTCCAACCTAATCGGTTATGCGGATAGTGATTTTGCAGGTTGCAAGATTGATAGAAAAAGAACCACTGGAGGCTGTCAACTTCTAGGTGGAAAGTTAGCGAGCTGGACAAGTAAAAAGTAAAAAATAGTGTCCACATCAACTGCTGAAGCGAAATATGTAGCCGCTGGAAGCTGTTGTGCCCAAATTCTTTGGATGAAAAATCAGCTCAGTGATTATGATCTTCAGCTCCCTTAGATTCCTATCTACAGTGATAACACCAGTGCCATTGCAATTGCAAACAACCCTATACTTTACTCTAAGACCAAACATATTGAGATCAGATATCATTTCATCAGAGATCATGTTATGAATGGTAATATTGAACTTCACTTCATATCCACTGAGTACCAACTAGCTGATATGTTTATAAAGCCTCTTGATGAAATAAGATTTAATATTTTAATCAATGAACTTGGAATGCTGAACGCTAAGGATTAATTCTTACAGCTCTAAGCAATACTCAGTGATACATAGTGAAATGATTCAATGATTTTAATCTGTCACTGAACTCTTGAGTAAATATATCTTTCTCTCTAAGGTATGTCTACTTATCTCTTCTATTTCTCAAAACTTAAAACCATCACTGAATACTTTCTTTATTCAGTGGTTAAAATGTTTTAAAAATGATGTTCAGTGTTTTTTTTCCTATCACTAAACTCTTCAGTAAATGTATCTTACTCTTAAGGTATTTTTTTTTCTTAAAAACTTAAAACTATCATTGAATCTTTCCTTAATAAGTGATCTTTTGTTTTAAAGGAAGCTTAAAACTATCGCTGAACTTTTCTTATTCAGTGATCATTATGTTTTAAAAGAAAAAGGATAATAAATAGTCATATTTTATGATGTCATTAAATATTTTTATGGTGTCATGCGTGGCCTTCTAACACACGTGATCCGTTACCCCTTTCTACCTAATCACCTTAAAATAACTTGCAAAGAAATTCATTACTACACATCTTTTCGAAACATGATTTTTCTCCCTCATCTTTCTCTCTCATCTCACCTATATATATCTCTCTTACCGTCACATATTTCTCTTATACGAACACAAAAAACTCTCTCTCTCTCTCTCTCTCTCTATATATATATATATATATATATATTTTGCTAGTAAGAACTCCAAGAAAGCCCCTTCAAACCAATTTTCTTATTCTTCTTTCAAGAAACAGGTTTGTAACTTCTTATTTTTGGCTGTTAATCTTCTAAAAACTTGTTTGTTATTTAAAAATATTTCTTTTAAATAAAAATAATAAGTTTTATAAATCATTCTTCTTCTTAATTTAACCAAGTTTTTAAAACCCTAATCTTCCTGAAAACCCTAATGTCTTCTGGTTTTTCAAAAGAAAGTTTATTCTTCAAACTTTATTCTAAAGTGTTTTCTAACATTAGTCTGTGCACAAATCCAATTTTTCAGGTCTTTCCTTTTAAAGAAATGGCTGCTGCTCAAAGCGTGAACTTTGCCTTGGAAGACATCACCTTCAAACCCAACAATCACATAGCATTCTTGGACATACTTGCAGACAAACCATAGTTTGCAGATGCTGCTAAGTTTATGAAGAACTCCATTCTAGGATATTCCCTTACCTTTCAACCTGTAATGGTGAAGGACATCCTAAGGCAGTTCTGGTTTACTGCTGAAGCAAAGACGGTGCAAGACAAGAATGGTAACTCTATTGTCCAAATATTTTGTGAGATCAACCATATGGTAGTGAGTTTTGGCTTCTCAACTGTTCAGAATGCTCTCAGACTTCTTAAGTCTATTCCCTATGATTGAGATCCAGACACTGAGCATATCGTCAAAATTATGGACGATATTGTCTACGACTAGCCTCTGAATAAAGACTCCAACACTGACCTCAACAAGTCGCTGACAAAGATTGAGAAGAACAGTATGTCTGTGGTCTGGCAATACCTGTTTTTGCACTTTATTCAGTGCATAGGTAGAAAGACTGGTGGCCAAGATCAAGCAAGTCGGGTGGTGCTGAACATTAGCTGTTTAGTGATCAGAGAAATCATTGTCAAGTTCGCAAAACTCATATTTGATGATCTGGTACTGAAGTTGAACAAGCATCAACGAGAAAAGGTGGTCCCCTACACCAGGTTCTTGAGTGAGATTCTAGCCTGGATCCTTGCAACCAGGTACCCCACTCAGAGTGACCTCCCCATCTGTCGACTTAGATCAAGAATTCTTGATCACAGGACCAAGCCTTCAAAGATTGGTCTATTTGCTCCATGTACCAGATTTTTAGCACGTACAACCATCAAACTAGAGACCGAGTTTCTGCCTCATACAACTCAGGCTGAAACACGATTAATGTGTGAGACCGTGATCCACAAACTGGCGCATGGGATGGAATTCTTGGATTTTGTGACTCGCCCCCGGCTACCTATGATCATATCAGTGGGAAACCATAGTTTACTTTTTTCATAGTGTTGTTAACATTCCAACTTCATATTCCCGAGTTGCAGAGAACAATCCGAACTGTGGCAATCTTTCCTGTCGAACACGCAGAATGTGCAGGAGAGGAGGGTTCCTCAAATGCCCAACTCGATTTGGACATCACAAGATCAAGAGGAACCATCTTGATTCAGGAGAAGATTACCCAAAAAATACCTGGGCCTCGCCTTTACAGAGGTGGTTCCATGGACTCTCTACTTTGATCTCTTAGTCTCGGAACTAATTGTCTATCGGTAATAGAATGTAGCTAGATAACTTATTCCACAACATTATCTTCCCCTCTGCACCTTGAATAGAAGCTCAAGTGCATGAAGAATAGCCAATGCTCCTCTTCTTCTTCTTCCTTGTTCTTCTTTTTATTCTTCAGTAGCTACGACTGTGGCAAAACCCCCCAGTCTATCCCCGCTACTACAACCTTATCCTCTCGAAAGAGGACACCATATAAAGCCCCTCTTAGTCCCTCAAAGAGGGTTAAGAAATCCAAAAATGGGAAGCCATCCAATCTAGTTGAGTCCTCTCAACAGGTCTCAACTATTGAAATTCGTCTTACCCTCGAGGCATCTGCTGTAACCCTCCCTACCTCTTCAGCAATCTCTTCTATTGCTGTCATATTTGTGGCTCCTATCCCAACCACTTCAGGGACTCAAATCACTGAATGTGTGATACCAGTGTAGCCACTGATGATTCTCCACTTCTATTCTCAACTGTTCTCTCATCCCCTCCTTCTTTGGTCTCTATTTCACGTGCTGATGATCCCATGGAGGTTGTCCCCACCATTGGTGAAGCTATCATCACAGGACCTGAAGATGCTCCTCTTGAAATTCCTCAGATACATGATGCTGATCCTCATGATAACACATTTGAAATGCCCAGCGGTAATCCTTCAGATACTGCTGATGACCCATATGGTATACACCAAACCTCCCTTTCTTTCTTTGTTACAAACAATGGGCTCTCTTATGCTCAACGCTCTCCAATTTTTATAGGTCCTTTGGAGAATGATTCCCCAGTCGCCAAGACTAAAACCTATGACATGGTTGAGAATGTCAAGCTGCTACTCCCTATCATTGCAACCATCCTCGAAAAGATGGATCAAATGTACCAGGGAATGCCCTCAACGGATGACCTCACTCACGGCCTCTATGATATCCAAGCTGAGGTGTGTGAAGTCAAATAATTGCTGAACTCTACGAAGATGAAAATCCAACATAATTCTAAAGCTGTCGCTGCACTCTCTAGCAAAGCTGAAGATATTCAGGCTGAGCTTACCAGGCATGGTGAGCTCCTTGAACGGATCTTCCATCTACTTTAGCAACTAGCACCAGTCCATGAACGCTCCTTCATTATCGCTGATCGTCATCAGTTAGACTAGATCGATGAGTTCAACCTTTATCAAGTCGAATCTATCGCTTCTATTGAGCACAAGCTGGAAGACTTGGTATCTCGCCGCCCTCTCTTAGCTGTTAATGTTGATGATGACAAAGAGGGAGAGAAATCTAACGAGGACCTTGGAGAGAATATCGCTATGGAGAATTCGGCTGGTGAGGATACTAGGGAGAATATCCCTGAAGCCATCAGTGATGATGATGCCTTGGTAATTGTTGCTGCTGCTGCTAACCATGAAGACCTTCATCCTTCCACCTCTGCATTTCCAAATGTTGGTGATGAAGATGACGATGATGATGATGAGGATTCTGAACCTCAACTTCCAGATGCAGGTACTGATCTTGGTGGTAATGATAATGATGATGATGAAGATGATGATGATGACGATGATTTCTGCGTCCAGATCATACCAAGACAACCAACAAAAGGAATATCCTTCAGGAACCTGCTTCCCAGGGGGAGAAATCACCAGGGAACCAACACTACTCAGGCAAAGGAAAAGGAGTGGCTGAAGACAACCTTGCATTAGTTCTTGGGGTAGTTAGTCAATCTAAGGATGCAGACACCTCCAGGTTTATACCTCTTTCCTCATAAACTGAACCTTATACCCATATTCCTCTATCTCTCTCTGCAACAAACCCTCATGGTCTCTCAACCCATCTCTTATCTTTTGAAACCCTAGAGGACGATGAAGATGATGGTGAAATCAACACTATAGTACCAAGGAAGTGGTCTAGACAACCTGTGTGTTCAGAAGTTGAAGAAGACCTGAGGATGGCTCAGCTGATAAGTCAGCTCGACTAATCCAGAGTAAAATTCCTCTTTGTACCTCTGGATATGGTGAGTTTGATTTTCATTCAAAAGCTGAACGTGAATAATCTCTACGTGCTGAACAAAAGATGAAGAAACATCAACTACAACTTAAAGATAGCTTGGAGTTAGCCAAGACTCTAGCTGATCAGGAACTTGCTGAAGGGAAATTCAAGAGAAAATATTTTCTCAGTGCTCAAGCCCAACTCTTAGCAGAAGCTGAACGAGAACGTTAACGAGTGTTGAAGCTGAAGGATTGTGACTTCAACTGGTGTAGAGAAAGTATCGAAAATAGAATGAGCCCTCACAAAATTCCAAACGTTACTATCAGTGGTCAAATGAAAGATGGTGCTCTTCTTATTTCAATGGTCATATTCCAAGAGAACAATGATGTTGTCACTGAGTACCCCTCCTTCCTCAGTCAGTATGGTTTCTTTGAATGGCTCGATATTCGACAGGCTATCCAAAATTCCAAATCCAAGAACAAACCTTACATTGAAGAAGTTTGTGAATGAATTATTTAACAAGGTGTCAAAGATTGTCGAGGTTCCTTCTCTGCCACAGAAGCTCTCTCAAAGAAAAAACCTTTCTGAACCTGAAGATGGTCCATCCAACAAGAATGAGTATGAAACAAAATTCTCAGTGGATGAACTCTTCAAGGATAGAAAGAAGTCAGATATCTCAATGTTGAATATGTCACTACCTAAAAGAGGGTCCTTATATACCCAACACAATGCATGTGAAACCTGAATATGGACTTATGTTTATTGACTATGATGGTCAATACAGGTTTCAGCGAGTATCTAAGTTCCATCTCTGTCCAATAAATCACTTAGAATATCTAAGAACTTAGATAAATGATGATCTATATGGAGAAATGATGGACCGTAAGATTTGAAAGGAAATGCTCAGAAGAAAGATGCTAGGAGAAGATGTTCCAGATTACATCAACTTCATCAATCTAGTTTAGTAAGCCTTTCAGTCTTGTAAATATTGTATTTCTTATATTTTCTTTCAGTGTATAGCTTTTATTTTTTAAGCCTACCAAAACCGATTTTAGTCATTATAATATTTTCTCTTGTAAAGTATTTCAATAAATGATTGGTTCACTGAAAAAGATCCCTAAAAAGAGTAAATGGGATACGTACTTATGAGTTCTGTTTTATTCTTACATTCGTTGACATCGTTCTAGTAAGTGAATATGCTTTCAGTTTCCAGTTATTAATATTGTGTAAGTTTATTCTTTCCTTGTAAACCTTTACAATTAATGTAAATTTCCATAGTAAACTATATCATAGAAAAAGATCCCAAAACAGTTAAAAGGGACAAATATTTTACTAGTACATTTTCCTTACTGTAATAGCTAAAGCAATTTTCTTTATGTTTATTTGTCATCATCAAATAGGAGGAGAATGTTGATCCTCTCTCTCAGTGATTTAATGATGATCATTTTTACCTTACGAAGTGTACTATCTCTGTATTCAGTTTTAGCGATCATCACTGAGTCTGTTCAGTGATATCTGAACATGTATTGTAATTTCTTCAGAAACAAGTATTCTTTAGGAAGACAAAACTCACATCACAGAACCTTCAGCGATATTGAAGATAGAAGCTAAAGATAGAGACAAGCAAATTCATGATCTGATGCGGTTTTTCAGTGTTAACAAGCTCGTATACACAAGTGTGAAATCTACTCAAGATTCAGTAAACACTGATGAGACCTCCAGCATCATTTTAGTGTTAGCGATCAAATAAATCTTATTGAACAAGATTAGATTTTGTCTTGTTCTTCTACACACAAAGGATAAACCCATACCTCTCAAAGTAAAGTATTGTACAGAGTCACTCTAGTGTCTACAAGCGTGATTACCTACTTTGTGAAAGCCTACTGTTCATATACGACCAAAGACTATATATCTATTACAAAGGACAAGCTCACCTCTTAAAGCTTACCACATGCTTTGTACCTTCTGAATTGCATATAGTTGAGTAGTTCTTTCTTCTCAGCAATCTTCTCTAACCTCAATCCAAGCTTCCTTGCCTTGAAGATCTTACCCAAGAAGATACTCCTCCCTCTAACTCTCTATATAAGAGAAAGATATCCACTCTAAGAAAGAAAAAGCACAATTCTTCTTAAAATATTTATTTTAGCAAGCCTTTTCTTTATTGCTATCTGTAACTTGTGTGTTTCTTTGATTGTTTAGATATGTTCTGTATCTTATCTTTTCCGTAAACAATCTGTAAAAATATGTATTGATCTTATTTATCAATATAAGTTTTTTAAAAAGTGAAAGTTGTTGTGTTTGTATTCATCCTCCCCTTCTACAAACTGTTACCTATAAGCTCTTGTTGATCCGGTTGGGACCAATAGTGTTGTGTATGGCATTGAGTTCTTCAGGAAACTCCAACTGATATGCTACTGACCCAACCCGTTTAAAGATTCTGAATGTCCCAACGTACCTTGACCTGAGCTTACCTCTTTTCTCAAATCTTACAATACCTTTCCAAGAGAAACCTTCAATATTACAAAATCTCCTACCATAAGTTCAATTGATTTTCGACATCTGTCGGCATAACTTTTCTGTTGGTCCTGAGCTATTTTAATTCACTCTCAAGTTTGATCTATCTTTTCAGTAGTTATTTAAATAATCTCCAGATCAGCTAACTACTTCTACTTTACTTTATTCAAACATAATGGCGTTCTAGACTTTCTACCATACAAAACCTCATATGGTGTCGCTTGAATGTTGGAATGGTAATTATTGTTGTAAGCAAATTCGATCAAAGGAAGATGATTTTTCCAAGATCCTCTAAAGTCGATAATACAAGCTCTTAGCATGTCTTCGAGGGTCTGAATTATTCTTTCACCCTGCTCGTCTGTCTGAGGGTAATACGCCGTACTCAACCTGTTATAAGATCCCACTAGATCTTTGAAAGATCTTCCAAAACTTAGAGGTAAACCTACTGTCCCTATCTGAGACGATTGACAAGGGAACACAAAGACGAGTCACTATTTCTTCGATATAAATCTTCGCAAGCCTTTCTAAAGGATAATTCTCCTTAGTTGGTAGAAAGTGCATAGATTTCGTTAGACGATCTATAATAACCTATATGGCATCATACCCCTTTGGAGTTCGCGGTAACTTCATGGGCGAAATCCATTATGATATGATCCCACTTCCACACAAGAATTTCCAAAGACAGTAATTCCCGTATGGTTGTTGATGTTCAATCTTTACTTGTACACACGTCAAACATTGCTCTACGTATTTCGCAATATCATTCTTCAATCCTGGCCACCAATAGATTGGTTTTAAATATTTATACATCTTATTGGTACCTGGATGAATCGAGTATCCCGACCTGTGACTTTCATCTAGAATTAGTTCATGGTTGTCCCCAAAACGTGGTACCCAAATTCTCTCTTGGAAACATAGAATCCATTTATCGTTCTTTGTCAGGTTGATATTACTCCACCAAATCTTTCAGTTTTGAAAGTTAACGGCTTCACTTTGACATCTTAAAATTTCATTGAGAATGTCGGGGATTAAGTTTGTTCTCAGCACAATGGTTTTAATTGTTCCACCTTTTTTCTTCCTACTAAGTGCGTCAGCCACCACGTTTGCCTTCCCAGGGTGATAAAGGATTTCGTAATCGTAATCATTCACCAATTCGATCCATCATCTTTGTCACATATTTAATTCCTTCTAGTCAAACAAATGTTGAAGACTTTTATGATCATTATAAATCTGACATTTGGTCCCCAATAAATAATGCCTCCAATTCTTCAAAGCAAAAACGACGGGCGCAAGCTCCATGTCGTACGTAAGGTACCGTTTCTCTTGATCTTTTAATTGTCTAGAAGCATATACAATAACTTCCCCCTATGCATCAATACATATTCTAGACCCAGATTTGAAGCATCACTATGCACCACAAAATCTTTTGACCCATCTGGTAACGACAATATCTGAGCACTGCATAATCGATCTTTCAACAATTAGAAGGATTTAATCTAGTCCTCTCCCTATTCATACTTAACATTCTTTCTTGTCAGCTTGGTCAAAGCTGTAACAATATGTGAGAAATCTTGAATAAATTTCCGATAGTACCTCGTCAGACCTAAGAAACTACGAATCTCGATGGGGGTTCTCGGTACTTCCCATATCTCAGTAGCGTCAATCTTTGCAGGATTCACTTTTACCCCCGCTTTAGAAACAATATGACCTAAAAATTGGACTTCCCTCAACCAGAATTCACACGTGGACAGCTTTGCGTACAATTTCTCCTTCTTCAAAAGTTTAAGAATTAAACAAAGATGTTTGGCATTCTCAGCTTCTGATCGTAAGTATCTAAGTATATCGCCGATAAATAGAATAACAAATTTATCAAAATTTTCATTACATACTCTATTCATTAAATCCATGAACGTCCGTGGATCATCTGTTAGACCGAACGACATGACCAGAAACTCATGATATCCGTATCTAGTTTAGAATGCAGTTTTGGCAATATCTTCGTCTCTAACTTTCAACCGATGACACCATGACCGCAAATCAATTTTGGAGAAATAATTTGCTCCAACTAGTTGATCAAACAAATCATTGATTCTTGGCAAATGATATATATTCTTTATCTTCAGTTTATTCAGTTCTCGATATCAATACATATTCTCATCGTCTCATCTTTCTTTTTAACAAACAACACGGGAGCACCCCA